AAAATTTGACAAAAACAGTAAATTTCCCCAGTTGGCGAGTTTAATTTGACAAAAAGTGCCCTTTGTGTACATGCAGCACAAAGTACAAAATCTTTGACGGTTATAAAATTTGACGTTTTATTTTAAATCGTCAACTCGTCAAAATAAAACCTTCGTCAATAAATCCCACTATACAGTAGTTTGATGTAAGTATAGGTTTGTTGATTAAACCATTTCTCTTTTATAAACAAAATTATTGATTACAAATCTTGTGATCACCTTTTATAGAAATTAATGACAAACTTAAGATTAATGTACTCATTTTATTGTATTCTAGGTTAAGGAGGATTGAGGAAATTAAAGCACAGCATGATAGACAAAGATAATGGTTATGACTGAGTTTTAGGTGTCACATTATTTTTGTATTGCAATCCCACCAAATTTACTTGACGACATGTTATAAGAGTTGGCTACATGCATGTACAGTAAATACACTTTATTCAATTTAATGTAATTTTTCTAGCAATCTAATTTTTATAGAGTAGCTGTCATTCTTATATTAATTATATTACAAAAGAAATACATTAATTGTAGGAACAATGAGTCAAGAGAGAGGGAGAGGGTAAGAGATTGAATTTCACTCATAAATAGATAATAATTAATACAAACACACAAAGACCATAATCAGTTCTTTCATAATTCAAACAGTTCATCTTCCACCTTCTCTCTCACTTCAGTGTCTCTAGTTGGTGACCATTTATACGTCTTGGCAAACACTCTTTTGAATTTATCACTGTATCAGTGTAAAGAAGAAAAAAAATAATAATATATATAATAAATACTGCATTTATCCTGCCTTCTGACTCACTTCCTACTCTATAGACCTCAATATAGCAACTGGTCATTAATCATTTACCATGTACAAATCATGCAGACAAAATGGCCACCATAAACTTTAACCACAAGCAGTTAGTGAATAGAGCTCAATGTTAATACCATATACAACCAGGTGCAACTGTCAATGCTTTGGATGTCATTTTGTTCACATAATCACAAAACTACATTGAGCCCTGCCCATCTCATTTCTTTATTTGCTATTAACTGCTCTCTATCTCACCTCCTCTACTTATCTCAACCCTCTCTCTCTCTCCTCACTTCCTTGTCATCATTACCTAAATGAGTCATCATCTTCAATGTCACTGGATCTGTCAGTCACTCTATCTCTGTTGTAAGCATCAGGTGGCAGTGCAATAGATTGGCTGGAGAGGAAGGAAGGAAGGAAGACATTAAAAGGTGTACAATGTGTCAATGATACACTCAATTGCAGTGAATAAAGACAGACATAAAATAATAATGATTTCTGCACTTAAGTGACTTGGAATCGGCTCAAACTTTCTATTTTTTATACACAGCATAAGGACATCAATATGTATCAGAAAATGTAATAAAAATTTGGAGTGATTTTGGAGCCATTTTTTTGAAAAAAACCATGGGCTATAGCCTTGGGTATTTTTCAAAAATTGGCCCATTTTTGAATTAGTCATAACTTGAAAATTTATTATCGGAATCAGCATAAGGACCCTCTTGCCCACAGATGTTCGTATTTCTTTATCTTCTTTCTCTGTTGCACACACTAACTCTTTTCTCCTTCTCTCTCCTCTTATAATTCTTACTAATAGTGTAGTAATGTCACTATTGGCATCTGTGATTATTGATTACATTGGATTATATCAAAAATAATTTTCAGTGCATTTGTTGATCTATAGTAGATATGCTGCTGTACCACTGCTTGTACATAATGTGAGTTAGATCTACTTAGAGTCTTGTCTAGATTAAACCAATGTCTTATTAGTTTTTGCAGTAGTGCAGGTAATACCGTATGGAAGGAAATTTTGGAGGTAGTTAAATTTGGCGAATTTGGCGTTTTGATAGCCATTCGCCAAAATAAAAATTCGCCATATTGAGCCATTATACGCATGCTCAATGGCACGTGGCCACAAATTCGCCAAATTAAAATTCGCCAATAACCAAAATTTAGCAATTCGCCAAAATTTAGTCCCTCCAAAATTTCCTTCTGTACGGTATGTAGCTGCAGGAGTCCATGATGAGTATAGTAACACTACTCATCATGGACAGGGTGATGTAATTTACAGCATTGCATTCCATAGGTTTCCCTAATTTCAAAAATATTTTAGCCCTACCCAAAAGGAAACTACAGAGATGGCCACTAATCAAACTTGTCTAGGTACATTCTTAGTTCTAAAGCCGCTCTTTTGATGTTTACCTTTAGATATAGGTGACTTGATTGATGTTCTTGACTTATTGAAGAAATGTAGCTTTCAAAGAACCAAGTGGCAAGAGCTGGGACTGAGACTAGGTCTACTGAAAGATACACTGGAAGCCATTAAAGCAGAACAACATGGTGATGTGAATCAATGCTTGACAGAGTGCCTCTCCCAATGGCTACGTAGAGCTGATAATGTTGACAGTAGAGGAGGAGCCAACTTGGACTCACTGTCAGATGCTCTAGGATCTATGAATGAAACTGCTGTAGCTGAGAAGTTAAGTGAGTCAACTATAACTGTATGTAACTATAATCATTGTATTTTCTATCATAGAACATCAGGTTCTTATTAATATTTTTAATAATCGTCATACTGTCCTGTCTCAGTCTCTTTGTGATCCTGTTGGTATTGCTTGGTTACTTTATGGTGAACGTATGTTAACACAAGAAGCAGTTAGTAGAGTGGTGTCAGCTAGTCCCTCTATTCCTAATCAACGTGAGGCTCTATTAACTGCTGTCAAAGAAGCTGTTCAAACTGATCCCAACAGTTTACATACATTTGCTAATGTATTGTGTACAATCAGTACTAATGTATCACTGGGACAAACTATACTGGATGATATTAGTGAGTATAGTAATAATAATAATACATTATGTATAAACTGATCTTTATGTGTTTAGGTAAGTATTTTCCTACTCGTGAAGTGGGTGTAGTTCCTGAGACTATTAAAGATCATGATGAAGTTCCACAAGGTAATAATTATTAACTAGGTGAATGTAAACATTGAAGGGGTGAGCATGAGCCATCAATTAACAGTTGAAATAGGATTGAACTGAATATAATAAATTCAGCTCTTAGCCTGCATGCATATTCAGACCCTGGCCTCATGGCCGGGGTCTGAATAGAGTAAACACACCAGTTAACAGCCAAAATAACCTGGCAGTAAAAGAGACAAGAATGAGTCCTGCCACACTGAGAAAATGTACCAAGCTAAACTTCTAATCTAGCTTCCATCAATTACCATTGTTTGAAATAAGATTGAACTAAATAAAATCTATCCAGCTCTTAGCGTGCATGCATATTCAAAATTTCAGACCCCATCCTCATGGCCCAGCGGGGTCTGAACAGAGCAAACACACCATTTAACACAACTGACCAAAATGACCCAGTAAAAGAGACAAGAATGAACTGTCCTGCCACCATATCTATGCCTGCCACTCTGAGAAATGCCAGTGCCAAGCTAAACTTCTATCAAGCTGTTCTCCCAATTTTAATTCTGTCAATGAGAGGACTAATCTAGAGGAGTCTTAGATCAAACTGCTTTTAAGTTCTCCAGCCTTTAGAGATTTTTTAGACAGCCCCTCTCTATTATCTAACTGTTAGAAACTCAATCTAAGTTTGTCACGTTGAAATTTCCGCCATCTTGTTCCTTGTGACCACACCTTCTAAATTAATTTTTGTCCACGTGGTCCAAATTTATTATTAGTATACTGATTTATAAATCGTTATCTTCCGTTCACAAACAAGACTTAACGAAAATAGACCCAGACAGATTAGAGTGGCCCATGGATCTCGCTCATGCTCGCCCCAATTAATTAATTGATATTACCGTAAATTGGGAAATTTCCAATTAGAAAATAAATTGGATAATGGGGCGTATTCATTACTCTGATTTGAATAATTAGAAATTACGGTCAAACTCAAGTCTCAAACACTTGCTTGAGTCTATAGGAAGTCCATGTAAGGAAGAAAAGCTGGTTTATGAGAAAGGTAAGAAAACATTAATTTGTGCAATCACCTTTCTTCCTTACATGGATTTTCCTATGGATTCAAGTAAGTGTTTGAGCCCAGCGACTTTCAGTTCCTCTGCTCCTCTAACTGGTAACAAGGTCTCTATCTTGGACTGCATCGCCATTGACATTGCACAGAATAATGCGCTTCTGCCCCATTGACCGTAATTTCTAATTATTCACATCCAGAGTAATGAATATGCCCCATTAATTTTCAATAATTTTAATTTTCGGATAGCCATCTTGTTCCGAAATTAAGTTTAATTCCAATATTAAGCAGTAACAGTGAATGACTTTGAAGAGACATCAAGGAGCTCAATGGTAGACCAAGAGAGAGTGGGCATGAGTGAGAAAGAAGGAGTAGAGGGCACAGAGCAGTGCTGAAGACAGCTAAAGTCAAGCCACACGGCACGGATACCAGAATTCCTTTTTATCCGAATATTTTGGCACATTTTCACATGGTAAATTATCTTAGCAATATCAAAAAAGTCATATGATATTGAAATTGCTAAGTGTGGTTGTAAAGCAGGGAAGGGTCCAAAGGCTAGCTGTAAGCATGTGGGTGCCCTATGTTATGCCTTAGTTGAGTTCTGCACTTCTGGAAGACTACCTGATTTTTTGACATGCACCCAAAAACTTCAAGAATGGAACCGTCCAAGGGAGAAGAAGGTTGAGATAATACCTGTTCTTGATCTATCTTTGTGCACAGATAAGATTAAGAAAAAAGCCTCTAGTTCCTATCCTATTCCTTCACTGTATGACCCTCGTCATCTGAATTCGAAAATTAAAACTATCCAAAAAATTCCCAATGTACGGTACATTTATTAATATTTATAGATAATAAAAGTACTGATGAACCCAAGGCACCAGCTCATACACAATCTGGTATGTCATGAACATAGCAGCAAAATAAATTGATACATTTATTCTTCGATTCATAGTCACATCTAGTCCTTCTGATGGAGCAGTTGCTAGTAATTCATCTTCACAACCTTTATCACCTCAAGGTAGACAATACACCTTTTACATACACGTACTACTCAAGTAATGATATTTTTTGTACATGTAGCTGAAGTACAAGTTCCTGTATCAGAAGGATTAATGGGGGAGTTTACTTCAATGAGAATGTCTTATGGAAGCATGTTTTACCATGTTGGCAAGATTATTAAGCGAAGGTCTCCTCCTCCTTTAGAAGAAATTAAGGAATATCTGTCTTGCTGTAGCACTTTTCTTGGACAAAAAGCAAAACAATGTGGCAATCTTTCTAGTCTCTTATGTCTTATTCAAAATGAATGTTCACTGACTAATATTGCACCTCTTTGTAGTGTAGTGGAGGAAATGGAGATCACTGAGGCAGAGGAACACATAGAGAAATATAGAACTCAGTTAAAGGAGTTCTGCAAGTCACTCTTCATTAGTCTTTGTTTGGAGGAAAGGTTTTCTTCAATTCCTCATCTTCATTGTCAGACAGTTACTCTTTTATTTGATTGGGAGCCTGAGGAACATTTACTCAAAGATATCAAGGAGCTTCTTGCGAAAGTATCTGGAAAATTGTTGAGGATTGAATATATCAAGTCCGGTAATTCTATATCTGTCACTTGCTCCTTTCCTTTCTCTGATGTTGGGTTTACTGTATTGAGGATGATAGAGAATATTCATTTACTAATGGGACAAGGATTAAAGAAACTGTCTATTGGTAACTTAACATTATGGAGGAGACAAGATGTCAGACAAAAGGTACATAATATGGATAATTGAATATTGTTTAATGAATATTGTATTGTATAGGAACTAAAAGAAAAGGACCAAGACTTACTACAACACACAGAGGTATAGTTTGAGTTTTAAATGTACATGTAATAATGTATTGCTAAAAAGAATCAACATTACGTTATTACAAGATGATGTAATGTTGTTTTCACAGGTTATTTCTTATATTATACTTGAAGAAACTGAATATAAACTAAGAAATGCTATCAGTAGCAAAGAGAAGGTATGTCATATGCTACCAGACTGTGCAATGACTAGTGAAAGTTCACACTACTTGCAACTGTTCCTCTTATTTTTGCTATGTAAAGTTATTAAATGTACATGTACACCACATTGCATGCGTATTTGCTGTTCAGTTTTGCACGTAAGTAAAATGATCTTTCTTTGTACATTATAACAGGAAACAATTGAATTAAAACAAGAATTATCAACAATGACAGTACCTGAGGTTAGTTATTATACACTATTATTGCACTGTCATCATATAAACAAATAATTTATGACTCTTAACACATTTTTATCACATATTTTATTTTAATATGAATTTTATAATTATTAGGAAGAATTATTATTGTTTGTTCAAAATGATACTGAATCAGTTAAAGAAGTTGAGGTATATTTCACTAGTTTGTATTAATTATAATAATTATTAATAGGAAGAACCACTTTATGAAGAGTTGACTGCATTGAGGTCTCAGTTTAATAAGATAAAAGAAGACAGCAAAAAATTGTCTGACAAATTATTAAAAATGAAGATTGAGTATTTGAGATCACTTAATAGTAATACTGATTCAGGTTAGAGTAGTTTTATTAATCATAATAATTATTATATATTTAATTATAAAGCTGCTAGCAAAGTGAGAAGAGGAATGGCTTTTGAAATTGATGACTGCAAATTTCATCTTAAAGCAATGACAAGACCAGACTATCAGCCATTAGTAGATAATAAAAGAATAATAGAGAAATTACAAGAAAGAATAACATTAATAAATATGAAACTAATTACTGAAAGAGAACACAATGAGGAGATTATAAAAGATATTAAAGGTTTTATTGATGTGTGTGTGTCATCATTTGATTGTTGATATTTGAATAGATCATTTGAAAGAGACTGAGGAGAAGAGACAGAAAGGAAAGGAAGGTAAGGAACAAGAAATTAAAGAAATGCTTATAAGAAGTTTTATTGATAATGTGTGTGTGTGTGTCATCATTTGATTGTTTATAGATTTGAAAGAGTTTGAGGAAAAGAGACAAAAAGAAAAGAAACAAAAAACTGAAGAAAAACCATATGAAGTAAGATCATACAAAGTATATACTATCTACTTAGTTTTATTCTATAGATTGATTTATATTGTAATCATCCTGTTACTGGTGAATTAGTGAGGAAAATACTTAAAGTACATAAAGATGAGCTACTACCCAGTGTACTGGATAAAGCTTATGAGGTTTATTATCTTTAGTTCAATATCTACTTATTCTTCCATTTTTGTTCATTTCTTTTCTCCTCATCAGTTAATGGAATTAGCTCCTCATATTCCTATTGAGAGATGTCGTTTAGTTCAGTACAATTATGTTGATAAAGTAATGGATCAGTCCTTTGATCTTGATGAAGTGAGTTTTATTGATCATAATAACAATAATTATTATATTTAATTTAGTTTCAGCATCAAACTATCAGGCAGCTAGTTCTAGGTGGAGCTAGAGGTTATTATTCTTTTGCATTATACTTAGAAACTTGTAAAGAAAATGAAACCTTCATGAAGTACATCTACAAGGGCATCGGTAGGTGTGGTTGCCAGTGACATGACTATTAATTGAAAATACATGTACATGTGTTTGATGGTATAGATATTAATCTAAATATATCAGTGGTTGATCTGTCAACTGGTGAAGTAGGACCAACTAAACCAATGAAAGGTTATGATGGTTGGACTGTTGTAGAATTAAACCAACATATAGGAGAAGTAAGAGGAAGGATATTGTTCTCATTCCTCCATTGATCCGGTACATTTCTTTCTGTAGTTGTTTAATATTGACTCATCATGTATGAGATTAGTAGTAATGAAGGAGGGTACTACTTCAGCCCATGAGCTTAGAGATGAACACAGTTCTAAACTTGATAGAGTAAAAAAAGTTAGTTCACTTGCACAACTCAGACACATGCAGTCATAGTACTGTTATGAATTTTATATTTGTGATTTTGATTTAATGCCAGCATTGGTTTTAGCTAGGCAATTTCTACATAAGATTCTGCCAATATTTTGTACGGTAGCTATATAATCATGAATACATCATATTTTTCCCTTTTATTTATCTTTTAATTTTCTTTTCCTTACAAATAAACACACACACACTCAGTTATATGTATCATCAGATCCTGAAGATTATAAAAAAGAATTCAAAGATAGTTTGATGTACAGATATGTTGAGTTTCACATCAACTCAATATTGCTGGACATTACACTGCCTCCTGGACCTGAAGCCACACCCACTACAAGTAACGTAACTGAACGAGGAATAATAATGAAAATTATATCAATAAATAAAGAAAGTGATAAGGAAAAAAGAAGTAAATATTTATTTAAGTAACTTTAGTTTATAATATTAAAACAGTACTGGTAAAAGTTAGTAAAAGAACCACATTAGCTCAATTGAAGGAGGAGCTAGTTCCACTGATTGGTGTACCACCTACTGGTTTTAGAGTGTATAGAATTATTGATAATGAAGAATATGAAATGGAGGAACTGGATGAGACATTTACGGATGGATCAAAGGTATATACATGTAGTTTATTGTGTTATTTGATTCACTTCTCCTTTCCATTATACACTACTATAAGTACTAATAACACACACACACTCATCTCTTTATTACTTTGTGTATCTACTAGTTGATAGTAAGACTGGGTAGAGAATTAAGAAGAGGAGAGAAAAGAATTAAATTATATTTATTACAAATTAACAACACAGAGGTAAGAATTAATATTAATGGGCAAACTCCTTACTGCATGGTAAACTACCGTATAGTGAGAAATTTTCGTGGATCCATTTAAAAATCAATTTTGTGGCTTTAATTTTTGTAGTTTTCTACTTTTTGGCCATCTTAAATCATATTTAATTGATTTTCGCAGATTTTATTTTTGGGAATTTAAAAAAAAAAATGCAAAATCCACAAAATTTTGGGCCACAAAAATTTTCCTGCTATGCAGTAGTTTTGTTTGTTTGTCTGTACTCATACATCTGGGCGTGGCAATGGGTAGAGCCTGTTAATGATAATAATAATAATAATAGTTTCACATTCTTGTAATAATGTCATTTATTTTTAGTTTTGCAAGTTTATGATGTATACTGGTTATGCTGAGGATACACCAGTGGGAAAATTTAAGAAACAAATTATTGAAGAAGCGAAAGTACTAGGAATTGACTATACCCTTGAATTAGACAAGTAAGTACATCATGTGACTATCATGTGACTATCATGTGACTTATTGTGTAGAATGAGATTATGGGGAAAGATTGGAGTGTCCCCTTGTAAAGTATATCTTGATCATGAGAGGATCAATGATTCTAGGATTGACGATATTAATAAGGAAATACATGTATATTTGGAAACATTGAAAGGTCAGCATTATTTCAGTATTTTTAGTTTAAATAAATAATGTATTTTATAGTAAGTTTATTAATGTTAGTATGTTGATTTATATTAGGGCCAGAGAAGATGAAGCATTATGAACAGACACAGGTGTATGTTATAAGATGGCGTCCATCACAATGTTCAGTTGATCCAATAGAAGAAATTATACTTGATAACAGATATGATCCTGAGCATGTTATTGGAAAGGTATACGTACATGATTAAATTAAAATTTATAATTTATTGTATTGCTTGTGCTGGTGGTGTGTTTAAGGAGCAGCAGTTCATTTCCTCTACCAATAAAGTTATTACAGAAATAATTATTAAATAATGTTATATGCCAGACTGATAGCGATTATTCTATAATACAGCTGTATGCAAAAATTTAGGAAATTTAGAATTTTTAAAAATTGGTTTTATAATTTTTCTTGTAGCTTGTACAGTGAAGCCTTTTGATCCTAAGGTCAAGGTCAGTTGTAGGGGGCAAAGGTCACCCCCTTTATGTTTACCCTGCCGTAGCTGATGTTAATTTTGGGGATGTGATGTTTTATAGTTAATCGCTATCAAAGTAAAACCTATTATTTGCATAATTATGTGCATCCGCCAAAAATTAAAACCCAAATTTCCAGTTAAACAATAATTATAAACATTATAGCACAAAATTTATGAGGACTGTAAATTTTGTGAATTTGCCTAAAAATCTATTTGCTGATTTAATTTTTGCGAATTTATACCATCTGCCGTCTTGTACCCTAAAAATTTGATTTTTTGCGAATCTTCAAAAAATTGCAAAATCTGCAAAATTTACAACCCTCGAAAATTTGGCACTATACAGTATAACCAGGGGTGTATCTAGGAATTTAGAAAGGGGGGTGCTGGGTACAGAATGCAGAGGGAAAAGAAATTAGGGGCGCGCGAAGCGCGCCGCAATTTTGGCCACGCCCACTTTTAAGGGGTTAAAACGGCGTTTTTCTTCATTTTTCGTCAATTACGGGTGGGGTCAAGATCATTTCTATGATTTCAAGCATACTGGTTCGCATACTGGTACTTTTGATCACTCTTTGAAGGACTGGAAACTGCTGAAATCATAACCAGGGGACTAGATAACTTTAATAAGAGGCTTGGTAGTGATGCAAGAGTTCAGAACTTCAGTAATTTTTTCTGAGCCCAGCCATAAGGGGGGTGCTCAAGCACCCTCAGCACCCCCCCTGGATACGCCCCTGATAACATTGAGAATATACACATGTACTGTACTTTGACTTTGAGAGAGTATGTGTTATTATTACTTGTATCATTTTGTTTTTACAGCTGTCAGAGTTAAGTGGAGTTCCTGCTGAGTATATCTATTATTCACAGGTTAATCATTGAAGCATACACTATTTAATGTTCTCTCTGATTCTGTTAGGAACTATCATTTCCAGTTGATATATCATGTCTTGATATTGAGAAAAAGCTGAATTGGTATCCCATCACTTCAGAAAGATACTCATTAGGACTATATTTTGATGGAGGTGTCCTATATTTTGATGGAGGTGTCCTATATTACAAGTACTACTGAACACACACACACATTATGTATACACACACACTTACATACACCTCTTACTGTTTATAATTATTTAGAGACAATAGAGAGACAATGAAAGAGTTAACAGATAAAGAGAGATCAGAAATACAAGAGGCAGAGGAAGCAAGGTCAGTAAACCTCATGTATCATCATGTACATGTACTATCAGTTAATTACAAAATTTATTTCTAGTACAAATATACCGGTACATGTATGATGTTATTAATTGTACACATAGTATTTTGTAGTTATAATGTGTACATATTTATGTTAGTATAATTGTTATAGTTCCATGTAAGTATAGGCTTATTGATTAAACCATTTCTCTTTTATTCATTTTCACTAAACAAAATTATTGATTACAAATCTTGTGATCAGCTTTCATAAAATTTAATTACAAAACTTAAGATTAATGTACTCATTTTATTGTATTCTAGGTTAAGAAGATTAAGGAAATTAATTAAAACCTTTAGTATTACTTTAAAGGTATCAGTGGTTGATCTGTCAACTGGTGAAGTAGGACCAGCTAAACCAATGAGAGGTTATGATGTTTGGATTGTTGGAGAATTAAAACAACATATAGGAGAAGTAAGAGGAAGGATATTGTTATTATTGTTCTCCTTCCTCTATTGATCTGGTAAATTTTTTTCTGTAGTTATTAAATATTGATTCATCACATATGAGATTATTAGTAATGGAGAAGGAATACATGTACTTCAATCTTCAATCTACTACTTCAATCCATGAGCTTAGAGATGAACATAGTTCTAAACTTGATGGAGTAAAAAAAGTTAGTTCACTTGCACAATTCAGACACATGCAGTCATACTGTTATGAATTTCATATTTGTGATTTTGATTTAATGCTAGCATTGATTTTAGCTAGGCAATTTCTACATAAATAAAAGGGAAAAATATGATGTAATCATGAATATATAGCTACCATATGAAATATTGGCAGAATCTTATCTTTTAATTTTCTTTTCCTTACAAATAAACACACACACACTCAGTTATATGTATCATCAGATCCTGAAGATTATCAAAAAGAATTCAAAGATAGTTTGATGTACAGATATGTTGAGTTTCACATCAACTCAATATTGCTGGACATTACACTGCCTCCTGGACCTGAAGCCACACCCACTACAAGTATCGTAACTGAACGAGGAATAATAATGAAAATTATATCAATAAATAAAGAAAGTGATAAGGAAAAAAGAAGTAAATATTTATTTAAGTAACTTTAGTTTATAATATTAAAACAGTACTGGTAAAAGTTAGTAAAAGAACCACATTAGCTCAATTGAAGGAGGAGCTAGTTCCACTGATTGGTGTACCACCTACTGGTTTTAGAGTGTATAGAATTATTGGTAATGAAGAATATGAAATGAAAAAACTGGATGAGACATTTAAGGATGGATCAAAGGTATAGTTTATTGTGTTATTTGATTCACTTCTCCTTTCCATTATACACTACTATAAGTACTAATAACACACACTCACTCATCTCTTTATTACTTTGTGTATCTACTAGTTGATAGTAAGGCTGGGTAGAGAATTAAGAAGAGGAGAGAAAAGAATTAAATTATATTTATTACAAGTTAACAACACAGAGGTAAGAATTAATATTAATGGGCAAACTCCTTACTGCATGAGTGCATGGTAAACTACCGTATAGCGAGAAATTTTCGTGGATCCGTTTAAAAATCAATTTTGTGGCTTTAATTTTTGTAGTTTTCTACTTTTTGGCCATCTTAAATCATATTAAATTGATTTTCGCAGATTTTATTTTCGTGAATTTTGAAAAAAAATGCAAAATCCACAAAATTTTGGGCCATGAAAATTTTTCCGCTATACAGTAGTTTTTTTTGTTTGTCTGTACTCATACATCTGGGCGTGGCAAGGGGTAGAGCCTGTTAATGATAATAATAATAATAGTTTCACATTCTTGTAATAATGTCATTTATATTTAGTTTTGTAAGTATATGATGGAGTCTATTGTTGCTGAGGATATACCAGTGAGAGAATTGAAGAAACAAATTATTGAAGAAGTGAAAGTACTAGGAATTGACTTTGTCCTTGAATTAGACAAGTAAGTACATCATGTGACTATCATGTGACTATCATGTGACTTATTGTGTAGAATGAGATTACGTGAAAAGAATGGAGTGTCCCCTGGTAGAGTATATCTTGATCATGAGAGGATTGGTGATGACTGGATTTTTGCTACTAATAAGGAAATACATGTATACGTGGAACCATTGAAAGGTCAGTATATTTCAGTATTTTCAGTTTAAATAAATGATGTATTTATAGCATAGGCGTAGGAATGGGGGGGGCACTGGGGGGCTGAAACCCCCCCCCCCAACTTTTCAGCAAGAGGGACTTAGTCCCCCCCATGTTCACATGTTAAGTCATGCTTTTTAATGTTGAGCCCCCCCAACTTATGAATCATTCCTACGCCTATGTATAGTAAGTTTAATGTTAGTATGTTGATTTTCATTAGGACCAGAGAAGAAGGAGCAAAGTTATACACAGATACAGGTGTATGTTATAAGATGGCATCCATCACAATGTTCAGTTGATCCAATAGAAGAAATTATACTGGATGATATACATGTACATGACATGTACATTTTTAGTAAGGTATACATGTTGATTAATAAAATTTATAATTAATTGTATTATTGCTTGGGCTAGTGGTGTGTAGCAGCAGTTCATTTCCTCTACCAATAAAGTTATTACAGAAATAATCTTTAAATAATGTTATATGCCAGACTGATAGTGATTATTCCATAATACAACTGTATGCAAAAATTTAGGAAATTTAGAATTTTTAAAAATTGGTTTTATAAAAGTTTTTGTAGCTTGTACAGTGAAGCCTTTTGATCCTAAGGTCAAGGTCAGTTGTAGGGGCAAAGGTCATTCCCCTGATGTTAATTTTGAGAATGTGATGTTTTATAGTTAATTGCTATCAAAGTAAAACCTATTATTTACATAATTATGTGCATCCGCCAAAAATTAAAACCCAAATTTCCAGTTAAACAATAATTATAAACATACCATATAGCACAAAATTTATGAGGGCTGTAAATTTTGCGAATTTGCCTAAAAATCTAATTGTGGATTTAATTTTTGCGAATTTATAACATCTGCCGTCTCATACCCTAAAAATTTGATTTTTTACGAATCTTCAAAAAATTGCAAAATCTGCAAAATTTACAACCATCGAAAATTTTGCGCTACACTGTATAACATTGAGAATATACACATGTACTGTACTTTGACTTTGAGAGAGTAAGTGTTATTATTACTTGTATCATTTTGTTTTTACAGCTGTCAGAGTTAAGTGGAGTTCCTGCTGAGTATATCTATTATTCACAGGTTAGTCATTGAAACATACACTATTTAATACTCTCTCTGATTCTGTTAGGAACTATCATTTCCAGTTGATATATCATGTCTTGATATTGAGAATAAGTTGAGATGGTATTCCATCACTTCAGACAGATACTTATTAGGACTATATGATGGATATGTCCTATATTACAAGTACTAATGAACACACACACACATTATGTATACAGACACACTTACATACACCTCTTACTGTTTATAATTATTTAGAGACAATAGAGAGAGAATGAAAGAGTTAACAGATAAAGAGAGATATGAAATACTGGTGGCAGAGGAAGCAAGGTCAGTAAACCTCATGTATTATCATGTACATCTACTATCAGTTAATGTGTACATATTTACATTAGTATAATTGTTATAGCGGGTTTTATTGACAAGTAAAAAATTTGACAAAAACAGTAAATTTCCCCGGTTGGCAAGTTTTAATTTGATGAAAAGTGCCCTTTGCGTACACGT